CAATAGTGGACGCCAGCTGGAGGAGAGGCTCGTCCTAGGGTTTCCCTATAAAAGGGAAACCCTCGTTCTCGAGCGCGAATTGAGCGGAGCAGAAGGAAAAGAAGCAGCGGCGGCGGTTTGCGGTTTCCTTTCTGCGATTTGTGAAAACCCCAATTCTCTCATTCTCATTTATTGTGGAGAAGGGGTTAGTGTATTTAAAGGGGGTTTCTTTGGTTATTGAAGAGAGAGATTAAATAGTGTTTTAAGTTAAAAACACTATTATTGTTTTGCGAGATCTCAAGCTTGAGATCTTTTCTTTTATTTGTAATTTCTTGTGATTAATAAGAAATTATTTGTGCCGCTCCCGTGGACATAGGCAAATTGCCGAACCACGAAAAATATCTGTGTTTGTGATTGGCTTGTCATATTTATTGGATTGTACCCGAGTTGGGTTTGTTAATCTTCTCCCGTGCTTACGGACTCGTTCGGTGTGCGAGCACGCTTCCGCAAAGGCGCGCAACATTAATGACTGAAGACATTTGAAAGATTGGAAAGAAGAAAAACTTTGAAGGGCATCTGATGATTTCAGATTTTGAGAAAGACTAATAGGGGGAACAGCAAAACTAAATTCGACGGTTCATTTATGCATTAAAAATGAAAGGGTTTCATGACAGCATAACCTCTTTCAGCTCCTTTGCATGTGCCTCAGCTTCAGCTAATGAAACCAGCTTGGAGAAGTCATGCATAAGAAAATCTTCCACTGCACAAGGTCATATTTTGAGAAGCTAACGTTCAACAGGACTGTGCTTGTCTTGTACATTGTAAAATACTGAAGGTTTTTCATCATATTTACATTAAAAAAGATAGAAAATATATGATATCGATGCTTTGATTAAAGGACTACCTTTTGCATTAATCTAATGTTTTTAAACATAGAATTTTTAACTAATCAAACCCAAACATCTTCGAGCAGTGGCAACTCAGCCCTAAATTTCATCCATCAAAGTAAAATTGTTTCCACAATTTCAATTTTCATCGATCAAATTACAAAAACGAAACTCTGAAGTCCAATTAAAAGATCAATAACATAAAATTCGATAAATTGAAAAGATCGAGATCGAGATCGAGATCGGGCCTTATAAAATGCCGTGAGAAGCGCAAAATCGCTGGAAATTAGCGTCGATCGTTGGGAGCTCGATCTCGAGATTTCGTAGCGACGGCATCGGGGGATGGGGTCGGTGATTTCGAATTTCTAGGGCTTTTTGCTTTCGATGTTTTGAGGAAAGGAGGCGGGAAAGGGGCAAGAGAAATGAGACGGCGTATAGTTTATATATTTATGTAAGTGAAAATTTTCCTATATCCATTTTATTTGGGGGACAAATTTTTAAAAACACCCCTTTTTCAAATTTAACTAGCAACACCGACCTTCTAAAAATAAAAACAGCAAAATCGATCCTTTTGGTCGATTTTGCGCAGCGGTGGAAAAAAAAGAAAATGGACGGGACTGCTAGTCCCGTCCATTTAATTGTAAACCCGTCCTATTTCCCCACCTTCGTGCGCCTCTTCATGGGCATCGCCTGTGACCTCGTCGGCCCCTACCGTCTACTCCACCGTCCTCGTCTCCTCCACCGCCTCCTACCTCCTCGCTCGGTTTTTCGCCGGCTTCAGCCTCGCGTCCTTCGTCTCCTGCCAGTTCTGGATGAGCTCCATGTTCTCGTCGACCAAGGTGGGCACCGACCACTTCCTTAAAAATGTTACATGCAGCAATCTCCGGTCCTCTGCTCTGACCCATTTCGGGAACCCGTCGGAAGAAACGAGATTTCTTTTATTCGATCCGTCGGGGCTTTAGGTGAGGGTTTGTGCGAGGAGGGAGGAGACGGAGTCGAGGCCGGAGCCGACAAGGGAGGCGAGGAGGGAGGAGATGCCAGAGAGGGACTCACGTCACGTGTCCCGGTTGCCGAGGGAGGTGGAGAGTCATGACTTGAGGTTGGATAGGCTGTCGTTGGAGCTGTGGTCGGGGTCGAGGCAGGGGGAGAGCTCGGAGGAGGAGAGGTCGAGGCAGTCGGAGATGGCCGAGGAGAGGCGGAGGTCACCACCGGAAGAGGCGTCGCAGTGGGAGAAGGAGGAGATGGTGGAGACCAGAGTTTGGATGGCGGAGATGGTGGAGACCATGGTTTCTTTTAGCCCCCGGCTGCAAAATCAACCAAAAGGATCGAGTTTGCTGTTTTAATTTTTAGAAGGTCGGTTTTGCTAGTTAAATTTGAAAATGGGTGTTTTTAAAATTTTGTCCTTATTTGGGCTTTAGTCCTCAATACTATTGTTTCATCTACTTTTTACCTATATATTCTTGCTTGTATTTGCTATAAAAAAAAGACCCTGAAGCTTTATAAACTTGCATACCATGACTTGGTTTCTATAGCACTTATATACCCTAAAGTTTTCAAAAATTAGAACTTAAATACCCTTAACTTTTTTTAATTAGCTCTTAAATACCCTAAACTTTTTAAATTTGGCAATTAAATACCCTAATTTTTTCAAAACTTGCGGTTAAATACTCTCAAGGTTGCATAATTGAGGGTATTTATGTGCATGTTTTTTAAAACTTTAGGGTATTTAAGTGTCATAAAAAAAGGAGATGGTACATAAGTGTAACTTTTAAAAAGTTTGGATTTTTTTTTGCTATTAAATATAAGTGAAAAACAGCTAAAACAATAGGATGCATAAAGTGCTATTTAGCCTTTTATTTATTCAAATGTAGTGACTAGCCAGGATTTTTTATTTTATTTTATTTATTTATTATCTGTTTAATCATTAATTTTTATTTTTTAATATTTTCTGAAGTTAATTTCTAAAAAAAATAAAAAATAAAAAATAATGATTAAACTGTGAAAGTCATATTAGAAGTTTCTTTAACTGTCCAGATCACCCTCCATGGGTGAACGTCCAAAACTTTTGAGAAATGATGAGTTTTTTATTTTTTTTAATTTTTTTGAAGAGCATGTATGAATAAAAGTTGATAAACAAAAGTTGGTAGATTCGAGGACAAACATAGTTGTGTAATGACAGGACGTGCGTTGTCATGGACCACGACTTAGGCCCAATTTATACACAGTCCGTGTAAACCAATGCGCACGCAAACCCTTCTATTTGTACCTCTCACATTGAACTTTAAACCGATTTGGGCTAACTTATGTTTTATGCAAATCAGGGAGAAAACATTTCAAAAAATAGCCTTAATGGCACTTAGATACCCTATGGATTTCCCTACTCAGCGTTTATATACTCTCATTTATTTTTGGCAAAACAACATTTGTATGCCCTCGTCGGCACTTATATACTCCTCCTTAACTCGCCAAACAAAAAAAAAAATCTATACAATGGTTAAAGCGAGTTAACCCTCCGTAATTTACCAAACATAAAAAATATAGAAGGGTTAAGCTAACCTCTCTAGTGGGATTAAAATGAGTTAACTCCTCAAAATGAGGGGTTTACTAATACTCCTATTTAGAAGGATTAAGAGTCAACCATTCTAATTATAAAGAAAATAGTCAAAATCATTGTTATTCCCAAACACTAAAACTGATCACAATGGCTAAGTCAAAATCATTGTTATTCCCAAACACTAAAACTGATCACAATGGCTAAAATAAAACTTATTTAACGGGTTAATAATTTCCCAAACACTAAAACTGATCACAATGGCTAAAATAAAACTTATTTAACGGGTTAATAATTTAGTCCTTCTTTTTAACCCTCTTGCTTAACCCTTTGCCAAACGTTTAAAACACGCGCTTAAATATTTTAAGGTTTTTAAAAATGATGCTTAATTTTTTAAAATTTTATAAAACGTGCACTTAAATACTCTCACGCTTGCATACTAAGGGCATTTACCTGTCAATTATAAAAACTTTAGAGCATTTAAGGGCAAATTTTACAAACTTGAGAGCACATAATTGTTAGGAAAAAATGAGGGTATACAAGTACAACTTTAAAACTTTAGAATATATGAGTACTATCAAAAACAAGTGAAGGTATATAAGTGTAAATTAGGAAAATTTTATAGGGTCTTTAAGTGCAATTAAGCCTAAAAGAATCACAAAAAAATAATAATCTGCATTTGTCGCTAACAACTCTCTGAAACGATATTCCAATAGCACTACAACATGTTTTTTCTATATAAGTTTAAAGTTTTGATCAAGTTAGAATTTCTAACAAATATAAAATTATAAGCATGTCATAATTACAGGGGACTAATTTCTTGACAAATTATTGAAACATTTAATTTGAACTCGCGAATTTTTTATTAACAACTTATTTTGCCAATCTTTTAAAGTCTCTTTGAGAATTAACAAGTGGAGTGAAAGAGTAATTTATTTCAATATCATTACAGATTATAACACTCGAGTATCATGTCCTTGTCCAGCTAATCTCACTTTTATTTCAGACAATATTTGACATAAGCTGTTATTAGCTGTCCAAAAATTAAGCCATAATCCCATTATTCACGGTCGTCTTTATGCATTTTTATTTATTACTTTATTTCCATATTTCTTATTTATTATAATTTGACATAAATACCCTACAGGTTTTTATATTTTGCACTTATATACCCTCATTTGTTTCCGGAAGAAAAATATATTACTTCAATATCCTTAGCTATGAAAACACTACTATTTCTCCTTGAAGATTCTCATGCTTAGAACTTTTTAACCCTTAAATTTTGTTAAATTTACTATTAAAGCTATTATAAATTCTATCTCAAACCTGGCATGATTATATTTCAAAATAGAATATTGATAAAATTTAAACTTTATCAGATATTAAAAGTTAAAAATATTATAAAATTAGAATTGAGCCTTACATGAGAATTTCGGGAGGAAAATCTCAGGTCACATAACTAAAGGTGTTAAAATGCAAATTTGAAAAAAAAACAGCTGAGGGTGTGTATAAGTGCAAAGGAGTGAAACTATGGAGTATTTAAGTGTAATTAGACCAATTTTCTTTTAAAAAAATCGGAGTCCACAGAGCTTCAGCATATAAAAGGGCAACTCCGCATCTTTACTCTTCGCCATTTCAAGAGGAGTCTTTGCTTCGGTCTTCATCTCCAAAAAGGTCAGTCTTTTATCAATCTTTTTGCTATTGGATCTCTAGATCTGTTCGATTCCTTGCTTTACTTATGGATTTGATGCTGATCTATTAAAAATCTTTGTGTTTTAATCAAAAAGGCTCTTTATTTGGAGTTCAGTCGAATTTTTTTGGGTTAGATCTGTGAAATTACGAGATCGGAGCTGGCTAAAAGTTTTAAGAGCTTGGGTTTGTTTCGATCTGGTTTAATGGGGAGAAGTTTGGTTGTATTTCCTTTAGATCTGGATCTAGGGTTTGTTTGAATAAGCTGATCTAGTGATAGGTTAGTTTTAGCTTTTGATGCTTGATTATTTTCATAATTGTAGACATTTTTTGGTGTAATAATTTGCTGGAACTTTAGATTGCGCATGATTATTTAATTAGATGTTGTTTTCTGTTTAGGTGTGGATTTAGTGTTGAAAGTTTATTCTTTTTTTAAAGTTATTTTTTTTATAAATCTATCTAACATAATTAAAGGATGTGAACTGTAAATACAAGCCGCCCTCTTTGTATTTTACAAGCAACACATCGCAAAAACCTATGGAATCTTTATTTTGAAATATTGTGTCAAGATATGGGATTATATGTAGATGGAGCGAAAAATCTAGGTTGATTAAGAGGCATTTTTTGAAGCAAAAGAAGCATATAGCAGGAGCTTATTCCTATTGTAAAGTTTTTCTCTTGGTATTACCTTTTGCAGATTTGTAGAACATGGCTGATGCTGAGGATATCCAACCTCTTGTCTGTGACAATGGAACCGGAATGGTCAAGGTTTGTAACATTGTTTTATTTATGAGTTCAATTTCTTCAACTCTTTATTATATATGATCCAGACAAAACCCAATACTGCCTTTGTGTTAATTTCATCGTGCAGGCCGGATTTGCGGGCGACGATGCACCCAGAGCAGTATTTCCTAGCATTGTAGGTCGACCACGTCACACTGGTGTTATGGTTGGGATGGGCCAAAAGGATGCCTATGTGGGCGATGAAGCTCAATCCAAAAGAGGTATCCTCACATTGAAGTACCCAATTGAGCACGGAATTGTTAGCAATTGGGATGACATGGAGAAGATCTGGCATCACACCTTCTACAATGAGCTCCGTGTTGCCCCTGAGGAACACCCTGTGCTCCTTACTGAAGCCCCTTTGAACCCGAAAGCAAACAGAGAGAAAATGACCCAGATCATGTTTGAAACTTTCAATGTGCCAGCAATGTATGTTGCCATTCAAGCCGTCCTTTCTCTATATGCCAGCGGCCGTACAACCGGTTCGTATCAGTCTACGATCCCTAAATCCATTAAGTCGTTTTAAGTAACAAGACCCTTAAATCTTGTAAGTTGTTTTAAATTAGACCCACATTTCGATCAAATATGAAGATTTGGGGGTCTAATTTAGAAATATAAAGATTTGGGGGTCTAATATAGAATTGGCAGAGTTTGGGGTCTACTGTAACAAAAAAACCTTAATTAAATCATCTTTTTTTCTTTATCTTTTACTGATTAGATCTGCTATTTGTGAAATAGGTATTGTGCTTGATTCTGGTGATGGTGTGAGCCACACTGTCCCAATTTATGAGGGATATGCACTTCCACATGCTATCCTTCGTTTGGACCTTGCTGGCCGTGATCTTACTGATTCTCTGATGAAGATACTCACCGAGAGAGGATACATGTTCACTACAACCGCAGAGCGGGAAATTGTGAGGGACATAAAGGAGAAGCTCGCTTACGTCGCTCTTGACTATGAACAAGAGCTCGAGACTGCAAAGAGCAGCTCTGCTGTAGAGAAGAACTACGAGTTGCCAGATGGACAGGTGATCACCATTGGAGCTGAGAGATTCAGATGCCCGGAGGTTCTTTTCCAACCATCGATGATCGGTATGGAAGCTGCTGGAATTCACGAGACGACTTACAATTCGATTATGAAGTGTGATGTGGATATCAGGAAAGATTTGTATGGTAACATTGTGCTCAGTGGGGGATCAACTATGTTTCCTGGTATTGCTGATCGTATGAGCAAAGAGATCACTGCTCTTGCTCCGAGCAGCATGAAGATTAAGGTTGTCGCTCCACCTGAGAGGAAGTACAGCGTCTGGATTGGAGGTTCAATCCTCGCCTCCCTCAGCACCTTCCAACAGGTGATATTTTTACGCATTTTAAAGTTCTACTTGTTAATATTAGTGTTTTCTGTAAATTTTTACTGACTGTTAAATGTCCATTATTGCAGATGTGGATCTCCAAGGGAGAGTATGATGAATCTGGCCCCTCTATTGTCCACCGCAAATGTTTCTGAGTCGAGTTTGGTTATGGTTTCTTTTAACGCTGTGTCATGTAATCTCGGTTTGGTTATTGTGGTTCTTTGAGGGACTGTGCTGGTGTCTTTTTAATGCTTATGAGATCCATGTGTACCTTTATAAGAAGATGGGAGTTTTTTTGCTTGTTGCTTATGAGTACTGTCAGTATCAGCAGTTGCAGCAGACATAATAGTTTAAAGGTCCATGTTGTTTGTTATGCTTTTGGCATTTTTATGCGGTTTGTGCTTAAATCTTTGCTGTTTGGGGGGGGTTCAAAGATTTTGGATTGTGCTTTCTTTGTGGTAGGTCTATTTTGTAAGTGATTTTGAGATTCAGCTTCTTGATGTAGGCATCTCTGCCTCGACTACCGATAATACAAATAAGATACAATTGAGAAACAGATACATGGGTAAGTACAAGACTAATATATCTGCATAATATCCGAACATCCAAACGTACCGCCGTATATGCATGAAAATATATAGCCGTATACATATTAAATTAATTTTGTATTATAATGAGTTTTTCTACTGGCTTCTGAAACGTTAGTTATTATGCATAGTATCTAGTTAGTAGTCGGATCAAATAGAGTTTATTACTGGGATGATATCGGTATATTCTCACCTATATCCAATATAAGAAATAAACACGCAAATCAGTAGTAATAAATATGCACTCCTAATGAGTATTATAGATCATTATGCATCTGTGCGGTTACGGATGTCCTACTATGGTGTAATACAACCAGACAAATCTTCTCTTAACAAAGAATTATGAACATCACAAAGACAAACTTTTAAATTGTCTATATTTTTTTTTTGGGTGGGGGGCGAAGAGTATGCTCTACGCCACTCACTGATAATACAAAAGAATGTTAGCCAAGCACTTGCGCTTCAAATAGCAAGCCAGGCTTCAAGATACGACAATAATATGAATCGAGGATTTTCAGTTCCGGTTGTCCGTCTTCTCCCCATTTACAATCACAAATACAACACTATACATCGTGGTATGTGAGGAAATACAGTGACTCCATATATTAGTGTACAACTATGAAGCACGGACACGCATAACATGAAGCCGTGTCGTGTCCGTGTCAGACACACGTGTCGAACACACGTATCCTATGTATTTTTTAGGATTTGCCTCGTGTCGGCGTGTCGGATGGCCGTGTCGGATCCGTGTCCGTGCTACATAGGTGTACAACAGTAGTACAACGAATATTGACTTTAGACTTCTTTCTGGGGTAAGAGCGGCTCTAGATTAGGGTCAAAGTCTTCAGCATCATGTTTCCATAGATTCTGGAGCAAGCTCCGGTGCCTACTGGGTGGCTTTTCTTCGGTTTTTGCGGGTGCACGATTTGGGTTCTGCACACTTTGAAGGCATACTTGTACAGCATCGTGCACTCTCACAAAGCACCATTGCTTACCGATTAGGTCGATGAGGCCGGACTTGGAGAGGCTGAGGTGAACTTCACTGTTAGGGTTAGCAATTGCAATCTGTAAAAAAAATCCAAAGCACCTGTCAGATTTTGATGCGGCATAACCAAAAGACGAAGAGCACATTGAGTTGGGAAGTCTTTTTTTTTTTGGGCGGTTGGGGTGGGGGGGGGCGCCCCCCCCCCCCCCCCAAACCCCACCTCATTGTAGAGGTTCCCTTATAGAATGTCATATAGGGAGGAAGGAGAGAGCAATACCAGTGCAATCACTATTGTTACAGTCATAATGTACCAATTGACAATAGTGACTACACTGATAGATATTACTGATATGTGCATCAGGTTTCATAGTGTCGCCCTCTCCTTCCTGTACAGTATTCTATATAGAAGGCCCTCTAAAGGGTTTTTTTTTAACTGTCCGTGGTTAAGGAAAATTAGACCTGGATCCCTCGTGATCGGTACTCCTGATGTAAGTCCTTGAGAGCTTGAATGGCACTGGAGTCTATATATGTCACAGCTGCAGGTAAAGTTACTATGTTATTACTTTTTTTAGCTATAAACGAAAAAAAGAAAAAAATTGAGTTGGATACGTTTTCCCTAGGGGTACAACTGGGTGAATTTGTACACACAAGTTTGAGGATAACAAAAATTACGAGCATAAACTTCGAAACTACATATCGGTGCCAGATACCACTTATCGTATGCACGTGTTGTTGTGTACATACATCAAAAATACTTGATTATAAGCACAATTGCACGTGTGAGACTAAGGTTTTTGTAGTTCTAATATAGTTCGATGAACTTCTTAAAGAATGGCACATTATAGTCATTGTCACTGGAAGCGAATACTAAGAGTGAAATGAGCCACACGTTATTGACACATTTTAGAAATGACGTACAAAAGGATAGATTACACATGATAGCCATACTTATTGTCACGTCAGAACAGGTGAACCTCAACATTCTTATCTCTTGAGTTCATTTGCAAGAGGTGACAACACATCACACATTGTCATAATTTGTTATATAATATCGAATATTTCCTCAACTGACGCTCAAGAAATCACATGTCAAATAAGATGTCTTCATCAACTAATGGCCTTTATTTACTTTGAACTATGATATAGGTATAATATAGATAGCACAAAGTGTGAGATATAATGATTTGAAAATAATTCATTTAAAAACTAACTAGACGTGTTTCTAATCTTGATAAGCCAAAAAGGTGGGTTGAAGTTATTTAAAGAAATATTAAAAGATATTCATAAAAAAATCAAAATTATATATTTTTTTTAAAATCAAGGGTTTTGAAATATTGAACTCATGCCCTATGTTATTTTTACCACCAATATAAAAAAATTGTTTTATGATGTTTCGAAATAAATTAAATGGGGGGAAATAATAGTCATAGTAATGTGAAAAGTCATACAACTTTTCATTAACCCACTATTTCTCTCTCATAACTTAGACTATCAATAATAGTCTCTCCAATAATAAGCAACCACATTATTCTCTCCAATAATAAGCATTGTTAACTATTAGTTACCTCTCCAATAAACCCTCCATCTATCCAAATTCTCTCCAACATACCTTCTCCTCTCTATAAACATCTCATTAAAAAAAAGAGAGTACATGGACCTACTTCAAGCCACAGGCTCCTCCACGCATTTGGCCTATGTCAATCAAAGATGGATACTGAGGAGAAATTCCGGCCAATATTGCTCAACCGGTTGCCGAGTGAAAAAGAGTGCCATTCTCAGGGCCTAACAAAGGAATCAATGGAGCGAATATTTAGATTATTACATATATTCTTCAATTTGATATTATTTTTTTCCCTTAATTAGGATGTTCAGCTAGATTTATAATAGTATTAGATATGCATTGAAATTAACTCAAAAAGTATGTGTACATAGAATAATTTGGTAATCATTCTCGATATGTGTTTTAATATTTGTTGTTCTTTTTGAAGGTTCAGTTTGAGTCGTAGACTTAAGATGTAACTTTGTTAAAGATATATGAATAAAAATCCAGTTAATGTGAATTGTGATGCTATGTATTTATAGTTTTCTTTATTCTTTCTTTTTGATGAAATAATAACTCTATATTGAATCTGGATCATTCTCATTAGCGAAGCAACATTTTGGCATCGTTCCATAATCATTATCTTGTATTTTGACATACAATGACTATAATAATGGTTATATAAGGCCGTCATTATTAAGAAGGAAGCTAGATAATATATTGACAAGTCTAAAGTTTTCTTTGATCATTTTGTCAGGATTTTAATGGAATGCTAGCTCTCAGGAGAACTTAATTTGGTCTCTCAATTTGTCTAAATGGTGAAGTATGCGATAGAAACGCAAAAACGCTGCCTTGACAGGCTAATTATGTGTGAAAGCCATCACATGTTTTGTTTAATCAAAGTCTCACTTAAACATTTTTCGTGTCTTTACATTAATAACATGATAATTGTCTTTAGACTTTTACACAAACTACCGTTGGTTATTTCATTAGTTAAAATTTATCGTATATGAAGTTTCTGACTCAATTTTCCACATAGTAACACAATGATATATTTTCCATCAATGGTGATGAGATAAAACTTCGTATTCTAAGTGCAAAAGGTAAAGCCTGGGCAACACAGGGTAAGAAAATGACTACCTAAGACTAGTAGCCATAAGATTTACCTCCTTCACTCTGGTACATATTCAGTTAGAAAGAACCTCATTCACTTGTAAGGCCTTTCTCGAATGATATAAAACTAAGAAAACCCAGGACAATATACTTCTTCTCAAAATTTTCAGACAACATAAATGAGTATCCAAACATATATAATAAATGCTAGCATCAATTAAAATGGCTACTTATGAGTAATTGGTAAAAACTAAACAAAACTATCATGTTCATACCATTCGCGATGCAGACTGTGCCAAGCGCATGTCTAGTGAAGTTTGGAGCCCGAGCAATAAACTCGAAAGAGTAATAAGCCTTTCCATCAACTTCACGGTGGTTAAACAATAGAACAAGAAGTTCCATTAAAGAAGATTTTAATCCCAAATAATTAAGACCGAATGACACCATAAACTGGAACTGGCATGTACATTCATAATGTACACTTTGTGGGTTAAATGGCTATCTATAAGATAATTTAGTGACTGAAAGCTGACTGAAACATTATTGAAACTTTTAAGCATTCATACGAAGGCATGCTGGCCATGGTTAATGCGTTGCATTCTGATGGTATAATATGTTGGCTTTAAAAATTTGCTCAGCAACTTTTAAGGAAGAATAAAATCCTTCATATGGCGAATAAAAACTGATGACTCTTCTTCTTTATAGGAGACCTGGTTGAAACAAGTCCAAGATACGCAAGCACACTGTGACGGAGGACTAAAGTATTTCAGCACAAATCGTTGTGTGTTACTACCAGATGAATTCAGGTTCGTTGATTTCTATGGAATAAACTGCAACTTAATGTCTTCAGTGAAATGGTGGTGTTCCTTGCATTTTCTATCATTTTTGTAATTTGTAAATATTTATGTTTTTTATACTGCCAAGTGGACTCTCTAACCAAACTATTCTCAAATTTTCAGTGGCTTGAAGAAAACAACGACAGAGAAGGAAAAAATCAATCAGAACAGCTGCCGCTTCTATCTACTCTACAAGCAACTTCATACTGACGAAGGAAAATGTGCCATTTTTCTGAGCTCAATTATAACCCTTCATACTTTTGGATGAAGAAATTCAAAAAGCACGAGCAAATTAATCTCCGCCAGAAATTCATCAAGACAATATCTGCACAGAGTTCACAAAATTACTAACGAATTTTGTATCTAATCTCATATAGAAGTATGAATTACAAAATTCTTTAGTAATTTTGTGAACTCTGTGCAGATATTGGCTTGATGAATTTCTGGCGGAGATTAATTTGCTCTTGCTTTTTGAATTTCTTCATCCAAAAATATGAAGGGTTATGATTGAGCTCAGAAACATGGCACATTTTCCTTCGTCGGTATGAAGTTGCGGTGCAGCTGCTCTGATTGATTTTTTCCTTCTCTGCAGCCTCTGTTTTCTTCAAGCCACAGAAAATTTGAGAATAGTTTGGTTAGAGAGTCCACTTGGCAGTATAAAAAACATAAATATTTGCAAATTGCAAAATAGACAGAAAATGCAAGGAACACAACCATTTCACTGAAGACATTAAGTTACAGTTTATTCCATAGAAATCAACGAACCTGAATTCATCTGGTAGTAACACACAACGATTTGTGCTGAAATACTTCAGTCCTCCGTCACAGTGTGCTTGCATATCTAGGACTTGTTTCAACCAGTTCTCCTATAAAGAAGAAGAATCATCAGTTTTTATTCGCCATATGAAGGATTTTATTCTTCCTTAAAAGTTGGAGAGCAAATTTTTAAAACCAACATATTATACCATCAGAATACAATGCATTGACCATGGCCAGCATGCCTTCGTATGAATGCTTAAAAGTTTCAATAATGTTTCAGTCAGCTTTCAGTCACGACCATGGCCAGCATGCCTTCGTATGAATGCTTAAAAGTTTCAATAATGTTTCAGTCAGCTTTCAGTCACTAAATTATCTTATAGATAGCCATTTAACCGCTTAAAAGTTTCAATAATGTTTCAGTCAGCTTTCAGTCACTAAATTATCTTATAGATAGCCATTTAACCTACAAAGTGTACATTATGAATGTACATGTCGGTTCCAGTTTATAGTGTCATTCGGTCTTAATTATTTGGGATTGAAATTTTCTTTAATGATAACTTCTTGTTCTATTGTTTAACCAGCGTGAAGTTGATGGAAAGGCTTATTATTCTTTCGAGTTTATTGCTCGAGCTCCAAACTTCACTAGACATGCACTTGGCACAATCTGCATCGCGAATGGTATGAACATGATAGTTTTGTTTAGTTTTTATCAATTACTCATAAGTAGCCATTTTAATTGATGCTAGCATTTATTATATATGTTTGGATACTCATTTATGTTGTCTGAAAATTTTGAGAAGAAGTATATTGTCATGGGTTTTCTTAGTTTTATATCATTCGAGAAAGGCCTTACAAGTGAATAAGGTTCTTTCTAACTGAATATGCACCAGAGTGAAGGAGGTAAATCTTATGGCTAGTCTTAGGTAGTCATTTTCTTACCCTGTGTTGCCCAGGCTTTACCTCTTGTACTTAGAATACGAAGTTCTATCTCATCACCATTGATGGAAAATATATCATTGTGTTACTATGTGGGAAATTGAGTCAGAAACTTCATATACGATAATTTTTAACTAATGAAATAATCAACAGTAGTTTGTGTAAAATTCTAAAGACAATTATCATGTTATTAATGTAAAGACACGAAAAATGTTTAAGTGAGACTTTGATTAAACAAAACATGTGATGGCTTCCACACATAATTAGCCTGTCAAGGCAGTGTTTTTGCGTTTCTATCTCATACTTCACCATTTAGACAAATTGAGAGACCAAATTAAGTTCTCCTGAGAGC